ATTTAACTGCAGGGTAACATGCCGTATGTATAAGAAATCTGCATAAATATGTAAATACAGATAAATTGTTACAAAATATACATTCTTTAATAACCTAATGAATCCTAGAATTAAACTGGCTCATGGGGCTCACACAATAATGAATCATGTGGAACAAAATGTGAAACAGGTTTTTATAGAGGCAGACATATATATATATATATATATATATATATATATATATATATATATATATATATATATATATATATATATATATATATATATATATCCTGCACAGTTCTGTTTTAATATATACTTCAACATTTCAAGTGCTTCATGAAAGCACTGCTCTGCAGATGCTGTCAAAGAACTGGTGGCCATTTTCCGCTGTAAAATAAAATCAGTCTGATAATCAGGATCATTTATTAATTAGTCTCCAGTAAACTGGAATTGGTTTAAAATTGTATATAGAAAACAATATTAGAAAAATGTAAGGCTGTGATTTGAGATGTCCAACATTCTTTGGTCTGAACACAACACTAACAAAAACACACTTTCTCATTTAAAAAAAATGTATTTTGTCAATCTATTTTTTATTGAGGATAACAATTGACTGTCGGGGGAATTGTGTGATTAATTTAGGATATAATGATCCCTAACCAACGGGGGAGAGATTGGTCAGTAAGGGCTTTAAGCCCTCCCGTGGTTAATAGGTAAGCTGGTGTTCATAAGATCAGCTAACAACAAATGAAGCGAAAACATATATTTTATTTTAAATCTTTATTTTATTTGTGCATAGCAAGAACAAACACGTTTGCACTGCCACGACAGCTGGTGCAGACAGATATGTAAACATATTTTAACATTGGTATGGCATCGAAAACATAGCACATTTTTATGTTTTTAAGAGTGAAAGTATGTAACAAGTTGAGTGTTAAACATGTTTATATAGTTCGAGCTACTGCTAGTTTACGCGTTTTTAAATCAAGGGATAATCTAGTAGTTCTTTTTAGTAGTATGTGACATGTAGTTTTAACAAAGCTTTGTGTAGACAAGCGTATGGAACATGCTTTGAAACTTTTATAATATATGCAGTGCTACTACATCTGACATTCAACATTGCGTTCTCTATTAACATTACTCTGTGAGCAGGCTAAAATTTGCAGACGTATTTTACGTATGAGTGGTAGTCGTGAATGGTTAGGCATGCTTTGAGCATATATGTTAAACGTGAGGTGGCAGACGTAGACCAGAGAATGTATATAATTAGACAAAACAGTAGAGAATAAAGCAAAAACAAAACATTACTTAGCCCCCCAAGCCTGCCCGTCTCTAGTGCCCGATTAGTTAAAGGCAATTGATAGTTACATGGCATTGTCACCCCTGCTGGTGTAGTAATAGTAAGTGCAGTTGATCTGGACGTGAAATGAAAGTCTCTAGTACCAAGGCAAGTACTCGGCAGGTGTTGGAGTCAGAGGTGGTAGTCAGGCACCATGCTAGAGACAAAGTCCCGTTCTCCCTTCATCTGACACCATGCACGGGCAGAGCAAGGTTCCCGGTATGTGGACTCTTCGTTAGGCTGGCAGGGTGCCTGGGTTCCGTGGGTGTTGCAGCTTGAGCCCCTCCGTATCTGCCTGGACCAGCCCTCCTCGCTTGAAGCGAAAACATATAAAACAAGAACTAAAATGTGCAAAATAAGAGAAACAGTAGAGTGCTTGAAGTTGTATTAAGAGTTCAGGTCACCACAGCCGACCCTCGGTTGCTTCTTGGAATGAAAGACGCTGTTCTCTCAGGATCCCAGAGTGAAAAGCAGTCGATGATGAAGAGGTCGGTGTGACTTGGGAGTCCCAAAGCTTGAAGGAAGGTCGTAGCTTCCGACATAGAGGTCATTTGTATATTAGAGCCATCCTTAAGGACCGTGAGTGATAAGACTGCGCTTCTCAGTTGGTTGGTTATAGGGATCACAGTCCTTCTCCATTGTAGCATGCTCATGGATAAGTCCTGGTAGAATGTGAGATGAGCAGACTCAAAGCTAAAGATGGTTTTATCCCTCACGGTGGCCATGATGCGAGATTTGCATGCGAATGATTGGCATCTGACTATCAAGTCACAGGTGGAAGAGGTAGGGGCCTGTGGGGATTTATTGATCCAAAAGAAACTGTCAATCCCAACCTTCTTGGCGTATGCAGGTGGCAGTAGCTCAGTAAGGAGGTGTCCTATGTAATGGGGTACCTCAGCCAAGTCAACACTTTCGGGGATTCCTCGTATTTTAAAATTAGCATGTCTATAATCCAGTTGGTCTAGTTGTAGTGCCATGGTAGCCTGAAATTACTGTACTTGGCGTAGGGCATCTTTCAAGCCAGAGACATTGCGTTGTGTGCCTATTATATCCTCTTCTGAGGCCTGTACACAAGCAGTCTTGACTATGTTTATGTCTGCTGTAAACATCTGCTTCATGTTGTGCAGAAGGTCTTGTATGTCCTGTTTCAAGGCCAAAGATTTTACCTCCATGGCTGTTAGCACCATTGTAGCAGTCTTATGCGCATGGGGTTCCCTAGGTTCCTCCGTGTGTGTATCTGAACAGATGGATCCTGCCTCGTGGCCTCTTGGTCCAACCCTGTGGCCATTTTGGTGCCAATGTCGTGGGTGTTTGGCTCGTACTTGCTGACACCCTCTGTGTTCTTTGGCCCATCTCATCGGTGTCACTGGCCTGGTGGTATTCTTGTTGGAAAGTAGCTGGAGTTCCAGAAGGCCATGCACCGCACTGAAAACAGGGCTTCTGGGATGTGTGCTCTGGTGCTGATCCATAGTAAGTAGTCAGACTGTTTGTTGACACCTTACATGGGAAAGAGACACAAGACCAAGCTGAATGACTGAGAGTATTAGCAGAGCACTCTCAGACAAAGAACGTCTTGTACTGGCTGTGCTTTACTGTACAGAGACAGCTGTGTGAAGCCATGCTACAATTGTTTAACCACTTACTGTGGAACACCCAGATACTCCTGGCTTCATAAGTACTACAGCCCGCTGTCATGGTTATGGTGTCAAGATGGTTCAATATAATCTAGGAAGGACCCATGGTGATTGCAAGATGTCAATAATTTGCTGCTAAAGAAGCATTGTCATTTAAAGAACTCGTGAGGCACAGCAGAAAGAGTTTGTCCCCCAAAAAGAGCAGACATCACTAAGATTAATTGGTAATTATGTATACTATGTCTACTATACAAAGCAAAATTGGCCCATATCTCTAAAAAAAACATCTGAAATGTATTTATTTCAATGATGAAATTAAAGGTGAATTGTCACCTCCCAGAATATTTAATATTATGTTTACTTATTGCCTATAGTTAGCAAATATGTCTTGTGATCTCAAAAAACAAAAAAGTGAAATATAGAAATCCACCTTTCTATCCTTGAACTGGGCACCACCATCTTGGTTTCCTGTCAATCATTGTGATAAATGTTGCTCTTTTCTGCCCTTGAATACAGTGGAAGAGAAGACAAATCAGTTCTACTTCTCATTTACATTGTATACCTACATTGTGCCTAGACTGAGCTGCATCGTGATGTCACTTGCTAAATCTTTAACATACATTTTAATCAAAAACGTAGAATCACACAGGGGAGAAAAAAAACGTTTAATACAAGGAACAGATCATTCTCACTGTTTTATTCAGTCTTGTCATTTCCAGAAATGTGCCATTTCTGCTTTAATTTAACAGTTAGTTGAAAATATATGAAAAAAAAAAATACATCTGTTTAACACAATGACTGTAGCATGACAGTTAAATAGCCAAGGCTACCAATATATTATTATTATTATAGAGAGTAAAGTAACAAGCATCAGGCACTGGGCAAATTGCTGCATTGTATCCACATTGCACGTTGTCCATTCCAATATTCAGACTGTTAATGAATGGAGTCATCCAGTGACCTTTTGTTTCAAAGTAATCTAATCAATTACTAGTAATCCTGAAGAATGGACATAGCTTTCAGTTGCTGATCCATTATACATGGCATTGAATCATTAATAAAGTGGTATCTAGGTCTGTCCAGTGTCAGATGAACCGTGAAGTCAGCTTGTTGGTTAAGGCCAATATTTTTAACTCTCACTATGCCAGAGGGGTGGGTAAAGCAGTTTATATTCCGTTACCGTATGTTGGAGTCAATAATGGACTCCTCATTCTGCCCAGCGACTAGCTCTCTATAATTTAATATGTGCAATTCCTATTATAATATGTTACCAACTGCAAAACATACAACTTGGACATTTTAATACAATAACAGGTATTGCTGTCAGTTATGTGCAACAATAAAAATAGATATACATTTCCAGGATTGAATTAATCACTATGTGTGTTCACTGATCTGGGATTTGTTGAGAACTGAGTGTAAGAGTGTCTGACTGTGTCTTTTAGGACGTTCACCCAGCGGCAGAACTACCAAGTCACTGTTGGGCTTAGGCCAGGTTGGCCCCCTTTCAAAACTGTTATTTAGTATTAGGCATTTGTAGCATTGTCTTTAAAGGGACACTATAGGCACGCAGAAAACATTATCTTTGGGTTAAACCCACCTCTGGGGTTATCTTCTTGACAGCCACTAGAGTCACGGCCTACTCCAGACTGAGTAAAACTCAGGGAATTCTGGGAATTAGAAATGCTGATTGCAGCATTTGATTGGATGAGAGCAGAGTTTTGCCGCGCATGCACACTCCAATCCAATGCTCTCTAGGAGATGAGGTCATGAGTGACGCCAGCATGTTTGCTGACACCCAGTGCTGGAAATATGTGAGTAATCTTTATTTTACTTCATTTTAATAGGGCAAAGACTGGTGGACAGAAGTCCCGAAGTACAGATAGTTATTTTCTGGACTATAGGTCCCCTTTAATCTTATCAATTTATTTTATGATGAATAGATTTGTCTGGCTTAAATCCTCTTTCGATTCATTTTTAAACTAACTGATCAGATTGAAAACATATCAAAAGGGGTTTCATGCCAGACATATGGATTAGTTGTCAAACAAATCTATTTGTTTAAGAAAAACTGCAATAAATGCACATGTCTATATTGCATATTGTCAGTTAGCCGATATACTAAATAACAATTAAATGACTGCTCTGAGCACTTTAAGTGCTCTCTCTCCCTCCAAACTCTCAGAGAATGAGTCAGAGCACTGGCAACACCCATTCAATGATTGGCGGACTGCAAGAGCGTTTAATATGGTTTGCAGGGCCGGCTGTGCACGCTCCCTCAGGGATACGGTCAGCTGCTGCCCAGGACCACTAGGGATAACACCCCCACTCTGTGCAAACGGAGGGGGTTAAAAAAAACTTTTTAATATAAATATTACACACACAATACCCACACATAACACTCAGCCAACAACCACAATCACACTAAATCGAGCCCCACACACCATCATGCTCAGCCACTACACATCCCCAGAGAATAATTAATTACATGGAGAACTTGATGTAAAATGATTTAAGATGTCAGGAACACCTCTCAATAGTAGGTGATATATTCAGCTACACTTTATCTAAAACGTATTTTCCCGATGATATCTATGGGAAACGAAGATTGGGTACCACTGCGTCTAAACAATTGCGTAATCAATCTGTTATTTAAATTAGTAGATCATAGTGGCTGATTTTGTCACGCTCAGGGAGAATAATTCATTGCTTCACTACAGAATATCCCTAATAGAGGTGGTATGGCCAATTTCAGCAGAAGACAGGGTTAATTTGAGTGTATTGGTATGTCAAAAGGTTTACAACATTAATTCCTCTTTTGAAGTTGTGACTCCAAGCAGAGCTCCTCTGCCAGGTGTGAAATGACATGAGTAGTCTCTAAGTCCAGCTTCAATGAAAACTAACTATGCCCCATCGTGGAATCTTTTGATATGCTATGTGGCCATTTGCAGTTAGATGACCATTGCATACCAGAGTCATATACAAAAGGGCACCCTATAAAAGAGTATAAACATGGCTGGAGCAACTTAAAGGAACACTATATATAGTGTTAGCTATGTTTAGGTGAACGGCCCATGTCAGAATGGAGTTAAAAGGAATTTAAACACAACTATTATCCATCACCGTGCTGGCCTCACCGTGGTGGCACCGCCTCCATGGCTGAAGGAATTATTCATGATAATCTCAGCCCAATGACTGCCACGAGTGGTCTTACTGGCAGGAATGTAAACATTGCCTTTTCTCTTAAATGGTGGTCTTGGTGGTGTCAGTGTTATGATATTATAATTAAGTATGGGTAATGTTAAGGGGGATTTTTATCATTATTTCCTGTCTAATGCAGACAAAAAGTGAATTTTAAACCTTTCAC